ACTATGCATTTCATTTTTAAACAATCCCAGACCACTTGGAAACCCACTTCATGTGGGAAATTTGATGGACTAATCTAATTCTCAGTTCTTTTCATTTTCATCCTCTTTCTGTGCTTTCCTTGTGTAAGGACGGCAGATACGTTGTTGAATTGCTAAATGTTTGGTCACAGGAAAGGACCTTGGCTTAGGATTTAGGAAGTTTGGATTCTAGTACTGCCTCTGAAGTTCAAGGAACTGAATAACAGCGTATAGTAACTCTTAATACTGTTTTTGCCACATTAATTTATTGTAAGTAAAAGATCAAATATGTGCAAAGCACTTCACAAAAAAATTTCTCTGGGGGTCAGAAATCATAATAGCTACAGTGGACAGTTGGAACCAGAACTAAAGCAAAATAATTTTAGGCTTATTGTTGTGTGAGGACCGGCTTAAGATAATTAGATTTTGGACATCTTGTTATATCCTTTGGCTTGACCTAAGCAAAGTGCCAAACTAGGATTATTGTGGCTAGATGACCAAATTGCTATCTGAGTTATTTTGTAGTGACAGGTTGATTCTTAAAGGACTATATTGTATTCATTAATTAGGTCTAAACTAGGGAATGTTTTGCTCTCTGAACTTTGCAGAGGGAGACAGAAGAATGGGAAAGAAAACTGGATTGGGAACGCTAGCCTATTGTAGTGGAGGGCAAGAGGAGAGATTCTTGGGGGGAAATGGGGCCTAATGGAGCCTTTCAGAAACATCCTGAGAATTGAGTTATGGGTAAACTGAATTATTAGAGTCAGCTGTGGAGGGTCACCTGTGCTTCTGCCATATTGAAAATGCCGTGCTCTTTCTTGAACTGGGCCAAGTGCAACTTAAATATTTGAGTGAGTGGCCATTGTTTTACTCAGCATTCCCAGGACCTCCCAAAGTTCAGACATTAGGGCATCACTTTCAACAATTTTTGCTTTATCCATTTGCTTAAAACACACACACACACACCACAAACTAATACTTAAATGTATCTGAAACAAGAACTTTATGTATCTGTTGAAATTTCAGGTTTGTTGTGCTATGGTTTTTGCTAATGAAATAAGTAGGTCAGATTAGCATAAGACCAGTCCATCTGTAGTCCACCTGAAATTATCTTGAGGAATGTTCCTTTCACCTAATTTTAGCTCTTCTCTTTACAGAGCGGGCCCTCAGGATGCCAGGATAGAGGTCAAAGGGAAAACCCAAAGACTGGACATAGGAGCTTTTTGATGGAATTTCCTTGATCAACGTAAGCTGGTAGATGGGAATTAGGTTTCCCTGTAGGTTATCCGACTAAAGCAAGTTCGAGTTAGACTTTAAGTAGGCTTAATTTCTTCCTTTTTTTTTTTTTTTTTTTTTTTTTTTTTTTTTTTTTTTACAAAAAAAACAACAATCACCCCACAATACTTTCTAGGCTGCAGGAGTTTCGAGATCTTGTGTTTCGCTCCGTGGGTTTCCTAGCAGACTTTCCTTCTGAAAAGTTCTAAACTTGGGCTGGCTTCCAATAACAGGAACTAAGCTTTCTTCTTGTTGATCTTAGCGATGCTATCTGCTCTGCCAGCTCCCAGCCCAGGAGTGAGCTCCGTTCAGCCAGAGTTTACGAGCTGCCTTTTCTGTCAGGCACATGCTAAGCCCTGGGATGCAGAGAGGAAGCTCTGGTCCTGCCTCCCGTGAAGCGCAGCATATGCACAGCCCAAACAGCCCAACCCATTCCGGCTGCGTGCCAGACACAGCAGACCCCGGCTCTTTGGGTAGAGCAATGAAGGCCTTCAAAGCAGGAGAGCTCTGGGGCCCAGCACGTGGAATGTGATATAAGGGGGGTGGCACACAGTTTATGCCGCGGTGAACGCTGTGGGATTTTTCCTCCCCAGGCAGCCTCCATCGAAGATCATTCTGCAGGATTTCTGTGGGCTCTGCATTGGCCCACACGGAATTCTAGCAAGAATGAACGTTTCACATGTGTGGTAACGCACGGCCTCGCTGCCCTGACACCCTCACATGGATTTGAAGTAGTAACGAGGGAGCCTTCGGTTGGCATATTGAGATGGCACCATTCCCAAAACAACATCTTAATGAGGCTCTGTGCCTCAGAAGCAGCTCTTCTTGTTTAAATAGACTCTGGCACAGACGACCCAGCGGGAAGCAATGTGACAGGAGGGGCTGGGCTCAGAGTGTGAGTCTCAGATTGTGAGGGGCTGTCTGGAGCAGCCTTGACTATGTCCGTGACCTTGACTATGTCAGTGACCCCAGGGGGAAGGAAGGCGAAAAGGCATACAACCAATCAGCCTTAAGCCTCTTTAGGGAATGTTTGTACAGAATCTGAAATAGTGGATTTCTAGTCTACACACGGCTATTACCCTACCCACCCCTCCAACTCAAGCCATCCCCTTCTGGAACTTGAGCTACACATACACCAGTAGCAGCCAGATCTTCAGTTCTGTGCATGTAGGGGTCAGTTAAAGGAGAAACTTCTCACCCATCCTCACTGTGGGTGCCTAAAACCCCCACAGTGTTCATTGTATTGATGCCTGCATTCAAACTCAGACTCTTAGGGATTTAATATATACAGGCTTTTACAAAAATTGTTAGCATGATTGTTCTCTGAAAAGAGTAGAAATAAACTTGGGCCGAAACTGGTTTGGCTCAGTGGATAGAGCGTGGGACTTTGGACTGAAAGGTCCCGAGTTCGATTCCGGTCAAGGGCATGCACCTTGGTTGCGGGCACATCCCCAGTGGGGGGTGTGCAAGAGGCAGCTGGTCGATGATTCTCTTTCATCAATAGTTTCTAACTCTCTATCCCTCTCTCTTCCTCTCTGTAAAAAATCAATAAAATATATTTTTTTAAAAAGTAAGAAATAAACTTTGATTTTGGGGAATTGGGGGGGGTGGGTACTGAGCATTGCTTCAGACCCAGCCACATCTCTGAGTTGCCAGAGAGCTACACCCCTCCGTAGACATAACCACAGGCGATTATTTCTTTTGGCCCGAGCTCTGACCTTGAAGGATCCAGACAGCCGCTTTGAAGCTCTGGGTGCTAGACATAATATGGGCAGAGTCCTAGAATTATTTCTATTTTATACATTTTATTTAGTATGGCTAATACTGATTTTTTTTTTTATTCACCACAAATTCTACTCTTGAAGTAAATCTAAAACGCTTTCCCACACCACTGCCCTTGATGTCGTTACTGTACATAAAGTCTAAAGCACATTCAGAAATGTAATCAGAAATAGAATGAATGCTAGGACTTGGGGCAGCATCCACAGGGGGCGCCATAGTGCCCTTCTCCTGGAGAGTCAGCCAGTTGAGAATCTAGATTGGTCTCTGATGTGTGTGAAATCCTTGGTGTCCTGTCTTCTGAATGTGACGGGACAGTTTTTCCTTGGAAAAATCGTTTATCTTCAGCGGGGGAGGTTGATTTTTTCTCCATCGGTTTTCCCCTTTAATAATTGAAAACTGCTCATTATTTACATAAAGCTGTCTTTTACTGGTCTGCTTGCCATAACCTTTCCCCTCTGAAGAATTTTAAGAATTCCCTGACTTTGCTCTAGGGGCTGTAATGCGTGCTGTATCCCAGATGTGAGGCATGGACTAGGACTGGCAGAGGTTCCTTTTTTTCTTTTTAATGTTCCTACATTTGAAAGACATTCTTTTAACCTGTGAGCAAAGCTGCCACTGGGGGGAAAAAAAGGACTTTTAAGAACATTAAGTAGTTAAGAAAATATGTCAGTTTGGTTTAAAGGTCTGACTTACTGAATGGAACCAAAATCCCATATGCAAAATGAAAAAGTAGACAGTAGTTCCAAATAAGGGGGAAATGCACACGTGTGATTTTAGCCGTTGGGTTCTGAGATCTCACTTTCTGAATGAAGACGTGTCAGCTTCCAGTCCCAGCCAGCCCACCAGGCCTTGCCCTGCGTGCTTGTGCTGTCAGCCCAGGGGGCGCGGGGCCCAGCAGACGGTTTCCCTGCCTTTGTCTCCTCTGGCCCACCTTCTGCTGACACAAAGAGGATGTTTAGCTTTACTCATAATATTTGGCCTGCTTGCATTCTTAGTGATGTATTGATCCCAACCCCCCAGTTCAGAATAAAGAATGTAAGGGAGCAGGGAGAGGTTAGAGTTAAGGGGGTTCTGCTAAGAGAGTCAGGATCTTCTGTTTTTTTCCCAATGTCCATTCAGATTCCCAGATGGCATCTCACCATTAGCTTTTTGGTCAGTGTGGTGTTCATACTAGTGGCTAAAAAAATAACCATAAAACCTAAACTTTTAGTGTGATAAAAATGTGACAAGAATGCCTACTTACGCAAGCATTATGCTGTTTTCCCAAGTGCAGAATATGTTTTTCACGGTGTGTACATGTGTGATGTATCATGCCTAATTAGTTAAATAACTAATTAATTGATTGTAAATTGTTAGGTTTCAGTGTCTTCCTTGTTCAAATTTTGTTGTATTAAAAAAAAAAAATACCTAAATTCAAACACATTATTTTCAGTATTTAGACCTTTTCCTAGTGTGTTCACTACCTACCATATGCTTTTTTAAAAAATTTCTTTATTGATTAAGGTATCACATATTTGTCCTCATCCCAATCCCCCCCCCCCCACTCATGTCCCCACCTCCCTATTGTCCTTGACCACTGGTTAGGCTCATATGTGTGCACATAAGTCCTTTGGTTGATCTCTCCCTTTTATCCCCACCCTCCCTCTGAGGTCCAACAGTCTGACCCATGGCTCCTTATCTCTGGGTCTGTTCTTGTTCATCCGTCTATGTTGTTCACCATTCCCCCTAGATGGGTGAGATCATGGCCCACTGGAACTATACTAATAAGAATAAAACATGAGACAAGCAATAATCGTTATGCTGAAAGGCATATGAATCAGTCTGTAATATTTCCTTGGTTGACACGTCCTTCTTTTCTGTTTCCTCAAACAGTATCTTTCGAAGATGGTTTGGCTGCCTCGGAGGCCTGGAGATCTGATGCCACGATGAGGACTCACACGCGGGGGGCCCCCAGTGTGTTTTTCATAGCTCTGCTCTGCTGCGCGTCGGCCTACGTCACCGACGAGGACCCCGACGTCATGATCCCCTTCACCAACGCCAACTACGACAGCCACCCGATGCTGTACTTCTCCAGGGCCGAGGTGGCCGAGCTGCGACTCCGGGCCGCCGGCTCCCACGGGCACATCGCCGCCCGCCTCGCCGAGGCCGTGCACACCATGCTGTCCAGCCCCCTGGACTACCTGCCCCCCTGGGACCCCAAGGACTTCAGCGCCCGCTGGAACGAGATTTACGGCAACAACCTGGGCGCCCTGGCGATGTTCTGTGTGCTGTACCCCGAGAACATCGAGGCCCGGGACATGGCCAAGGACTACATGGAGAGGATGGCAGCTCAGCCTAGTTGGTAGATTTTTGTCCTTTTCTTCTTCCTGTAGTAACTCTGAAATGTAAAGAAACCAATTTATACTTGGATGAAATCTCAAGGGGCCAGATTTTCACATATGTGTGTGTGTGTGTGTGTGAAAGACTTACTTGTTACCCGTATTTTCCAGTGTATAAGATGACCCCCTAATTTTGCAGTTAAAACATAGGTTTAGGCCTATATTCGCTGTATAAGACTACCCCCCACTTCAAAGAAAAGACTTACTTTGCCGTCAAGATCTGCAGGTAATTTCTGTGCAATTTTGGTCTTTTGCCCCTGATTTTCGGTTGACTTTTTTTTCATTTCAAAAGTCGTCTTATTCGCCGGAAAATACGGTATTTGTGTTGTCCGAGGCTTAGCAAAGGTCCATCGTTTCAAAAGGGCTAGTGACTTCCATGTTTAAAGTTAGAAGGAAAATATTTAGATATAACCTAACTAGAGAAAAAGTAATTTGCTGGATTGAGTAAACAGTAGCGTTTTGTTTGTTGAGAATTTTTTTCATCTTGTTTGAAAAGTACACATGATTGTCATCTGGCTGTAGGTTCTGCTTGACCCCACCCACACCCCCAAAGTGGTTCAAGCTCTATGCAGCAAGAAATTTGAGGCAATTAAAATTTATTTTTATGACAATCAGGAGCGAGAAGTAAATGTGATAGGATTATTTGGTAGTTTATAAACAAGTTCTTATCCAGTTGCCAGCAAATTAGCCAAACCTGTAGGAGAACTAGCCTTGAAGTGTAATTGTGTAATGAGTTCTTATTATGTAATAATTTACTTTCAGAAATTTAAGATTTGAGGACAAACTTCCTCTTTTTGATTAGCTTAGCTTTTATTTGTTTATAATTTGGTTCCAAAAGATGTGGGTGAGTAGATTAAATTAGAGCATCAGTACATAATCTTATTTAAACTATGTCTTAACACATATTTATGGCTCAGTTACACTAAAAAAAATTACAAACTATATGAAATATCCTTTTAAAATTACATAAAATACTACTTATAGAGCTAGAGAGAGTTCATTGTTAAGTGCTTAGAAAACTCAGTGAATGTATTTAATGCTGTGATAAATTAGATCTTCCAGGAATTACATCTTACATTTCACAGGGGTGAGGAATGATAGTTCGCAAGCTTCCAAAGTTTTGCCAATAGGGTAAAGAAACTTAATTCTTTCTAAATTTCTGTTAGTATGGTAAAGACTGTTCTTTGCTTATAGAGTGTGAAGGATTTTCTAGAATTTCTTAATGAAAAAAAAATATGGAAGAGTTGTCATTAAATTCCTATCAGAGCTGATATTTTTAGACTTCTTAGATATGTATAGTCATTTTGAAGCTTTTACAGTATTTTAGATAGGAAAGAATCTTTTTAAAATATATTTTATTGATTTTTTTACAGAGAGGAAGGGAGATAGAGAGGAACATAGATGAGAAGCATCTATCAGTTGCCTCCTGCACACCCCCTACTGGGTGTCCGCAACCCAGGTAATGCCGTTGACCAGAATCTAACCTGGGACCCTTCAGTTCATAGGCCGATACTCTATCCACTGAGCAAAACCGGTTAGGACAGAAAAGAATCTTTAAAAAAAAAATTGTTTCAGCCCTAGCCAGCTTGGCTCAGTGGATAGAGCATCAGCCTGTGGACTGAAGGGTCCCGAGTTTGATTCCAGCCAAGGGCACATGCCTGGGTTGTGGGCTCGATCCCCAGTGGGGGTTGTGCAGGAGGCAGCTGATCAATGATTCTCTCTCATCATTGATGTGTCTATCTCTCTCTCCTTTTCCTTTCCTCTCTGAAATCAATAAAGAAATATATTTTTTTAAAAATTGTTTCATAGCTGAGCCATGTATGCAGTAGCTTCTGACTTTGGCACTAATTAACTGATCTTATTTTATCGACACCAAGAAAGAATATAAAAGATGTATGAAAATTTATTTGATAGTTGAGTTACAAGATACTATTATCACATATTGTAATTACTTGATATTGTATAATTAGTTAAAACTGGCAAGCATGTTTATTTAGAAAGAAAGCTTTGTTGTCTATTAAGGGTACTTTTTTTTTTTAAAGCTCCCCTTACTGTGTATATTTTTTATATATACATAGTGAAATTTGACAGATTAAGATACTGGTGAAATAGTTTCAGAGATATAGTTACTGTAAAAAGTCATCTATTTGACCTCATAAAAGAGTAGTTGACTATGAAGTCTCATTTTCTTAATGGAGATTATTTTAGCACAAATATAAAAACATTAAAAGAAGTGAATGACTAGTGCATTTTTATTTACTATAATATAAACATCCAGGCATATAAATGTCAGCTTGAATGAATGCTGTTAATAAAGAAGATTAGACTCATCATAAAAGGAGAATAACTAACTTCATATAAAAATGACAAGTTTTACATAGTTTCTGCAGGTTTAGATTTACTGGTTTTTGGAGATGTGTAGAGATTTACTAGAGGGCTAGTAGTTTATTCATGGCAGTATTGATAACAATGGGTATAACTCTATGCCTTTACCCAGTAACGTGTAAACCAGTCTGTGACTTAACAGGACTGAACATTTGACTTCTTTTGCTTGACCTCCTAGAAGATGAAGGTTACAAATAGAGAGTTTACTTTACATCTAGTTTCTAGCTCCAGAAGTGATCCTAACATAAAAACTGGAGCTACTGGAACATTTTGTCTTGGCAAGGACTATTACTAGGCTGTGTTTTTTAATGGTTTTATGGCAATTTTAACTTTCTAAAAGCTGCCCCACCTAATCCTTAGACTCTTAAATTCTCATTTAAATTTGTAGTTGAACATAATCACTTTTTGACAATTTAAAGCACTGTTCTATGTTTTTCTAGTTCAACTATCCCTTTAAATCAACTAAATCTTATGTCCCCATTATGCACAGAGAAGTATATTGTGGTCATTGTCTTGGGATAGGTTCACCTATATTTGATATCAGAGCGGGGGGAGAAAGACTCTTATTTACAGAAAATCAATAATCAATAATTCGTATTTTGGAATTTTTAAATAAAGCTTTCTACAAGGCTTCCCTAGACTTACAATAGTTGCCATTTTCCTTGAAGAACATTTCTACTGTTTTGTAAACTGCTAAATTGTGTTTGTTGACCTAATCAACAAACATTTATTGAGCATCTCTTGGATGTCATGCACCGTGCAGGGTGCTGAGGACTCAGAAGGGGTGCCGACATTGGGTATTTGAAAGCTAGGCCAGGGCTATATTCTCTTCTTAGAAATGAGGGTAATACGGGCATTATGAACCCACCAGGTGTTTCATGCTGCACTCCAGTGCAGGGAAAAGTTCCATGTCTGCAGTCACACGGCCTGGATGGAGTCCCAACTCCCCTTCCTCAGCTGTTTTACTTCACTCTAGTTTACTTAATTTGTCTGAGCCTTAGCGTTCTGAGGAGTAAAGTAACAGTAACAGTAACAGTGGCATCTGCCTTATAGGGTTGTTAGGATTAAATGAGGTAAAGTACTTAGCACAGTTTCTGTCACACAGTAAATAAGAAAAATGACAACCATGAAGATTATTGTTATTTACTTAGCACTAGACCCTGTTTGGTTTATAATTTGGTAGATGTAGGCTCTAAGGAAATAGTAGTTGTTTGGTATTAATGTGGAGATTTGACTCATTTTTGTCCCGATGGCTCTCAAAACTAGAACATCTGTGTAACTCGTAAAATTTTCCTTTTGGCTTTATTGCATTAGAACTTCCAGCAATGCTCCCCCGGGCCCCTCATGCATCTAAGAATCTGATGCTAATGCCAACAAGGAAGGCTCAGCGGGAAGGGACAATGGTGTGTCTTTTGTCTGGGATTAGAAGGAACTATATCTGGGATAAGCATGAATACAGGTGTATTCATGTGGTTCATGTCATGTGAATATTTTGTAAATAAAGATCTGAAAGACCATTTAGAGAGATTCACTTATTTATGAATCTTGGGCCATTGTAAAAGAAAAGCTAAATGGGAAATGTTACCTGATTCTACTGGTCTTGTCATGTGTCCGATGTACTGCAAAGCCGAAAGGAAATCTGATAGACGGATGGTGGTGATGGTGGTGATGGTGCTGACACCACAGAAAGATGAGCCTCTGTGTTCTGTGTCGGCCTTTGCAGGGATGCCCACATCCTGTCGCAGAAGCTCTCTCCCTTGTACTCTCTCATCCTACACTCTCTTCTGCTCGTGCTCAAACATTCTTCACAGCAATAAAAGTAGCAGTCCTTTAGGCGTGCTCTTAGTTCTGAAAATCAAATTTTAAAATATATTTTAACCAATATGTATAAAATGGCAAATTATTTTTCACACAACAAATAATATCTTTGATTTTTGAATTAAGTCCCTTCTCCCCCATAGAAATCATCTTCCAAATGAGAGCTGGGATTTGGGTTGTAGTGGGCTCTGAGTTAGGTGAAAGTGTGGCTAGAATTCAGTATGCAACCCTTTAATGAGCTGAGATCATAGATCTGGGGCTGGTAACAATAGAATGTGCATTTTGTTGCACTTACAATGAATTCACTTTTTTACATAATATCACCTAATTACTAGAACAAGTTCTGTGTTAGGCCAATTGGCACATGGAGGCATTCTCATTTATAAATGGTTGCTTTGTGCATTCAGTTCTGACACAGTTAAGAAAAAAAAAACACAAAACCACAATTGAGCTCTAAATAACTAAAAATCTTTCATCTTTCCCCCCCACTCCAGAGCTTAAACTTTAAGGTAGGAAAATAATAAAAGAAGTTCTTAGTGGATATTTAAAGGGATGTCCACGAATTTCTAGGATGAGTTTTTGGAGTTGGCATGTAGTACTCTTACTTTCCTAAAATTTTTATAATATTTATGTACATTTTTATTTACTTCTTTCGACTGTACCTTCCCGAAGATTAAGGAAACATAAAGTACAAGAATCAAACTTGAAGTAGCTGGGAGAAAAAGAGGGGATAAGAAGGTTCGGGACATGAACTGGATTG